AAGTTTCTTTCGTTACTGCATTTTAGCTTCCATTTCCGGGAGAGCACGAGTAGGAATCTTCTTCATTATGCACCTTTCCGCCAATCTTGGCACCGTCTGCAAACGTTATCAATTATTTAGAAGAAAGCCCCTTAAATATTTTAAATGTTTGAAGCCAAAAAAACTGACCTTGGTGAAACCCTACCCATGAGATAAAAAAACAAAACACCTGTCTAGTTCATGATGATTTTCAGTGTAAAATTACTTTTTGAGGTCCATTCCTTGTTTTTAACCCCCTTAATAAGTGCTATGCTGATTTTGCATCATTCTAATTTTTTTATCAAAATATAGCGTGTTACCAAATCAAGGACCCTATACAAGTCTAAATATGTTACAATCAGTATATTACAATTATATTGCAATATAAGTATATATTAGCTATATTACAATGATATTACAATAAGCATATTATAAGTATATTACGATTTAGACACAGCTGGCATGGTCTGCTTCACTTTCAGGCTGGGTTTAATTGGGTTGTTTCACTTTCCTGGCCTCAGGCACCGCCAGGGAAGCATTCGAAATCCCAATGCATCCATTTCCTCTCCCCGCCCCTCTCCACCTCCCAATCATATTCATGTACTTTAAAATAAAAGATCTCTCTGAATATTCTTTCTAAATATTATGGATCAGTTCTGCTGTACTAGGATTCCTTTGGACAGTATTGTGAGCCTAAAATAACTGCCACGTGTACCATCAGAGAGTGGAAAAGTTTGCTACCACCCAACACAAACTCCCTTATTTGTTCCTTCTAATTTAAATGGCCACACAGAGGTGCAATTGGAAACAGCACAGAAGTGACAGCAGGTGTGACATGGGACGCCAGGGGGAGCTACTTTTCAGTTTGGAAAGTTGCTGAGGTTTGTAGAAAGTTCACTCGAGATATGATTTCTCACCGATACAAGCTGTGGTTAAAACCTGGGTCCTCAAAGTACTCAGGCAGCTACCATGTACTGAAATCAAAAGGAATTAGGGGCACAGATCTGATCTCGGATAATGTGAATTAAGTTATACTACCCGACGGTATGTGACAAGGACAATTAGGACTTGTAGGTGAAGAAGATACCACTTATAATGACCTTCCCTGATATCTAGTACCCATTCTGATCTTGTATTGGTTTTACACCAGGATAACTTCTCTTTCAGGAGGAAACCCTGTTCTATAGCTACGGCTGTATCACTTTGTAAAATTTGTAAATAATCTTGTTCTTGTGGCAACCTGTAAACCAGTTACACATTACACACGCATTAGCTGGCCCCAGGCACTTAATATGATGGGAAATATCACCGAGGAGTTTAGCAAATGCAAATGTAAAGGTGAATTGAAGTGAATGATAAGGACATCCTAGTTTTAGACATTCAGGAAACATTACTATGCAGTGTGTACACAGCAGGTGGCGCTCCACCACTAAAAATATGTTAAAAGAAGTTGCCAATAGCCACCCGGCCAAAGTATAAAATCAGACAGGCCAAAGGTATATTTTCTTTCCAGACAAGGTTCTTTGGGTAAATCTGGTATCTTTTATTAAACCAACTCAAGTAGTTGGAAAAAGTCTTCTTTGCAAGCTTTCAGATACAAATACCCTCTTTCCAGTGTCACAGCTATCACAGTAAGCCACATGCTATCAAAAGTATGTGTATAAAGCCGTGACGTTCCATTCTGATTTCAACCATCCATTTAAATAAATGCAAGACCAAAGGTCCTAGTTAGCAACATACTAAAAATATTGTCCAATATTGTCCACCCAGCATGGTGCAGGGTGCAGTTGGAGGTCTCAGGATATGGGGGTGAATAGAGGACTCTTTGGAAGAGGCAGCATGGCAGAGGCAGTTAGGCAGAGTTGCCACCTCAAGAACATTTATTTTTACCGATAATCTGCAAACTTTTCACGGACAATCAAACTTTTTTCACTATGTTTGGTATTAAATCCCTCAGTTTGAACCTGGCCCCCACTGCTGCCATCCAGAGCCTGTTAGAAGTGTTATATTCACACTATGTAAAATGTATCAGTAAAAAAGTATGCTCATCAGTAAAAAGTTTGTCAGTTAAAAAAAACCTACTTGGGTTAGCAACCCTGATTGAAAGGCACTTTAAGTTCTTAAAAAAAAAGCATTTATTGGAGTTGACAGGAACAGATGAGGGGAAATATGCCTATTATTGCAAAATATCTCCAAGAACACCTTGCATCAGAAAAGCACATTTGGTAGTTAGAGAAAGCCGCTTAGGGGACATTTTTCAGTTTGGTGAGAATCGTTTCTTAAAATGAACGACATCAAAGATTGCAATCTGGAGCATGGGAAATATCTGAGGTTTGTGTGATAGGAAAAAGTGCAACTTGTGTGTGAACTCTGTCCAAGAAAAGTATGCAGAATTCGGCACAAATTTATCTAATTTTCCACGTTTCATAGAATTGTAGACTCTAAGGCTGGAAAGGACTACTTGATTTAGTCTGTCCTCCTGTATAAACTGGCCCTAGGGGGGTTTTTTTAGTTATCCTTATCACTAAGAAAACTACATGCTTATGTCAAGATTCAGTTTGTCCAACAGCAGCTTCTAGCTATTGCAACTTCTTATGGCTGTGACTAGGAGGCTGAAAACCCCACCAGGCACTGATCTCTTTTCTGTGTATAAAAGTCACTTCTCAGCCATTTCCTTGATAAAATGGATAGATGGAGTTCCTTAATGGTCACTATTTGAAGACTAGCTGTCCAGCCCTAGGTCACTAGTGTCAGTCTCCTATGAAGTCTCACTGATATTTCCATGTCCTTCTGGAAAGGTGAATACCAGAACTGGGCAGAGTAGTCAGGGCTTACCAGTGCCATCTGGACGCAAGATCTTTTCTCCACTTTTACTTGATATGCCACTTATGCTCCCAAGAATCATATTAGCACTATCATAGCATTGCACTGAGAGCTTATGTTGAGGGGCTTATGATGAGCTCCATCTCCTTTTCCGAGTCACAGCTCTCCAAGGCAGCAGCATCTACTGTATTTTGCCAACAGTAAACTTTGATGACACCTACAGAAATTTAACTAGTTACTGAACAGAATTTCTAAAGAGGAGTACAAAGTGTATTGGAAGGATATATAATCCACTGGGCCCCTATCTCTAAACGTGCTTAATGAAAACCAGATCTCTCATTTAGCATGTTATAGTCTGATTGACTCGCTTTCAAAAACCATTTGAGATCCCACTGACTTCATCGGGCTTTGGATCAGGCTCCAGTGCTCTAGACATAATTTCAGGTGTCAAGGGAAATGACAAATTCATCCTTGTTCAGTTTTACCAGTTGCAATTTCTGTGTCTGGACCTTCTGAGCAAAGATAGTCATGTATGCACATAGATAAGAAGGCCACAAGCCAGACCAAATGCTGCGCATCTCCCATTCATTCCTGCTAGTTCATTCCCTTGACGTCAAGCAAAATGCATTTTAGGCAATAGATCTATGCCACAATCTTTATTCATGGCTCTCCTCAAGGTATTTTAAGAAACAAAATTTCTTGCTGGGGCTATGTTTTCTAAACCTGATGCCTCAAGCAAACATCTAAACATCTGAACCCGCTTTGCTCTGTTCACACTTCTGCTTGGGGAAAAGTGTTTTTCCTAGATGGGGAAGGTCCTTTTCTAATGCTCATCATTTCTGTCACCTGGTGTACTGCTTGGTTATCTCTTCTATTGGATCAACCATCTCAGCTGCTAATTTGGCTTGGATTTTCTGGATGATGAGAGTCTGGGTGGCTCTATGATAAACATCAGGGTTATTGCAGTGGGGGATAATTAATATCCAACAGAGAGAACAAAGATTGGATGGATGTGGGAAATGACTTGCCTCCTCATCTCTGGAAACATGTTCTTCATAGTGGTGAGGAGCAAGCTTGCCATCTTGTGCCTCTCCTGTGCTGGTGCTGTTCCTTAGATTACAAGAAGCTCCCAGTCCACAAACTTTCCAGCCTAAATAAAGAGGCTGAAAAAGGATGCCAAGGAAGGATTTGCAGTGTGGAGATGAGGTTACTGATAAGATAAACCATGGCACAGTGGCAACAGAAATTATCACCCACAAGGTATATCTGGCTATACTGCACATGGCATGGGACCACTGTAGGATCTCAGTAACATTAATCAGGAACTAGTAGATAAAAAAGATAAGGTAATCAGTCAATTGAAATCAGTAAAATTTTCAAGAGTCTGTAGATCCCTGTTTGGATAAGAACTATCTATCCTTGTTACGAAAGTTTGAAATAATAGCTGGAGCCAAGAATACCGCACTCATTAAACATGGAAATAAATTGGGCTAAACCCAGTGTTGGTAGCATGAGTGCAAGTCCTCTAAAGTGAACGTGCTTGCATCAACTCCAAATGGGGTCCTATAAATTGCTTATAGTTGAATTTAAATTGATGGACCAATTCAGCAGTATTTAAAATACAGTCTTTTTTAAGTGTGCATTTTTAATTAGGTAACTTTTTTACACAAAGAACTTTTCACAGTCAGATGGGAGAATCTGCCTGATGAAATATTGACTATCCCAATTAGGTCTCCAAACATCATTCAACAGCTCCAAATTGACTAATGGCCATTGCATCAAATGGGTTTCCACCTTAATCTTTAGTTCTTGTCTGAATGATATTAATACGCATTGTTTATTATTAATGAGCACTGGAATGTGATTATAACGGAAGCAATTAATGCCTATCATATGTGCCTGCAAATACAGTGCAAGAATTGAATATATGGGTAATGAATCACTTTCACAGTTAAATTCCAGTTTCTGAACTGCAAACTATCTTCAGGACAATTTCAGCTATCAGGACACTTCCATCAGGACTACTGTCTTCATTTTAAATTAGACGTGTTTGTGTCCAAACGTTGTAGCTTGTAAGCACTATTCCAGGTTGGGTTACACAACAGTAGATATGTGTTCTTTGCAAAGGGTCTTTTTTTTAAATTTATTGCTTGTATTTTGATATCAACTGTCATCAAGATTAAGGGACAGATCCTTAGGCATCTAAATGCTAGTTATGTGTCTAGCTGTGCCCCATTCTACCCTTCTCAAGTCCTCCTCCTCCTCCGTCTTGCTTTTTACAATTGATGGGAAAAAAAAGATGCTTCAGAGTCAAATAAAATTGCATTGAGATTCTCAAATGCCACACAGATGCCTAATAGATAAAATAAGGATCTGGCCTTAAGGATCCTTTAAGCCCAGGGGAAAAAAAAATATCCATTTCAACTGCTTCAGTGGATCGGGCCAAGAAGATGTGTTAACCTTATCATCAGGAGGCAGTGGCAGGCTGCTAGAAGGAGAAGTTGATTTCTCCTTGCCATCCAGCAGAAATCCAGAAGCAAATAAAACAATGATACACTTGTCAAGCTGCTAGATACTAGTCACACAGTGCTGGCCAGTCTCTATCCACTCCCTTAAGACGAAGCAACAAATGTGCTTTATCTTGGCAGAAATGAAAAATCTTGGACATTTTTATATGGTAATTTGGGGGGTTGCTTCCATTAACCACTGGCTGTGATTTGGTGGTCCAAGGCGCCGCCCTGCCCCATATTTATCTCTCATATGTATCTTCTTTGGATTTCTCCTCTCCCTAAAAGTCGGCAACTTAAGCTTTTAAAACTAGCCTGAAAGAAAAACTAATGTTTTCTCATTCCCACACTGAATGTTCTGTGGGGTTAAAATCATCCGTCTCTCACTTATGTTTCTAAGTGCTTCAATTCTTTTTAATCTACTAAAATTAATTGTCCAAACCCTGCTACCTTATTCAAGTCAAAATTTCAAAGTCAACAAGTGTTTTGCCTAAATACAGATCACTAAATTTGGTCTGTTTTTGTTTTTTGCAACCCCCACCCCTCCCAAAAACTGTTTGCATCGAACTTTTAATGAGAGTAACAGCTCCAATGCAGGACAGTCCTCCTTTGAGAAGGGGGTTAGACTAGATGTGACCTTCTGAGGTCCCTTCCCACCCACACTGTCTATGATTTTATATCTACAATCATCTACAAGTCTGGATCAATAAGATTATTCTGATGATGATTCATAAGCCTTCTACCTGGACTGGCTGCATATTTCCATTTGTTTGTGGAACATCTCTGTTAAAGCAGATGCTGTAGAAAGATGCACTTTTGGCTAACTGGAGGAGCCTTCCAATGACCAGCAATACTCTTACTGTCAAAGAAGTGACGGTTCAAAAGAAAGGTTAGCTGAAGATATACATTAGTTGGTGCCTGGATGGGGTAAACCAGCTTAGCACAGACAATGTGCCAGTAGAGATGCCACAGTGGAATGATGAATTGGGGAGGGTCTCACAACCCCATGTCTGGTCAGTCGGTAACCTCTTGCAATCCCTTTTCTCGTCTGAATTTATCCATGATAATTGAAATTTGTAGGGACCACTACCCTACTGATAGCTGGGCAAAATTAGGATGTACCCCCAAGTTTAGGCACTAATGAGTTGGAGGCCTTAGTGAACATCATGAAGCGGGAGATCAATAGGATGACTGCAGCAGCAGTCAGGATCTTGGAGTCCCCGGGGCCAGGTAAGATTGACCCTCCCATCCTCTGCCAATTCCTTGGCTCTTGCCCTCAGTAGGGTTTGGCCCAGGTCACAATAACTTCTTAATTACCCCTTTGATCTCTGCCTTCTACTGGCTGAAATCTGAACCACTCAAGCAAGTAATAAATATATAAACAGCTAATAACAGTATTCATATACTGCTAGTGAAGTCATAAGGGTATGTTCTTTCCAGAATCCACATTCAAAAAAGAAAAGACAAGAAAAGGAAAGAGAACTGCTGCTGCCAAAATGACCATCTTACTCAAGGTTGGGGTGATGTTGTAGTAATGACGGTTTAGGAAGTATATAAGAGACAAGGATTTTTTTTGGAGTTAGCTTTTATTGGACTGACTTTATAGATGGAAGAGAAGTTAGACAAGCGATCAGTCATAAAAGACCTGAATGGATCTCTCCCAACTATATAGTAGTCCATTATACCCAGCACAACAATGGCCATAAAAACCTGGGTGGCCAGAGTAGTGCTATGCCAGTACTACTCTACAGCTATATAAATCAGTACAGTTAATGTTCATGATGTAAATGTGAAATGCATTAAGACCTTGATCCAACTGCCATGAAAGTCAAGACTTGCACAGGGACCCAGATGCTGAGAGAAGGCATTTGCACTGATGGTGACTTTTGGAAGTTTTTACAACAACTCTTAAATTTCAGTTTGGACTCATGTCCAGCGGTGATGGTAGGGCATGCTGTAGGGCCAGTTTATTCTGCTTGACCTTGAAGAAAAGTTAAGGGACTAGAGTCCTGCCTAGCGTGCTGAGATGAGGTCCATTACAATGCAGCGGTGGTGCTTGGTAGAGAAGAGGATCTGTATTTGATTTTGGGACAGCGCTCAAGGCAGCCTGTCAGGGCCCTGCTGGTAGAGACTGAAAGCAAATGGGTCTAGAGACCAGTGGGCTAAAATCAAATATTTTTTTAGATCAGTTTTGTGATACACTGGAATACAGCTGTGGTCCCACAACAGCTATTTCTCTGTTTAAATTATATGCAAACACTTCCACTGATAGGACCCATCCGGCTGGGTTGGACTGGACCACACCAGTACTTCTGCCAGCCCCAGCTCCTGCCTGCCTGTTGAAAGGCACACCAGAAGCCAAACTGGACACTTAACTTTTCTCAACCAAAGAGGAATTTGTTCCAGGGGAATTGGTCACCTTTGACCAATCCTTGCCTGGAAATACTCTCTCTGCAAGATAAGCACGCTGCATTTGGCATGGCTGATGTTTGCACATGGTGCAGTATCAAAGTAGTCAGGTCTCCTGAGTGTTTTTCTTTACTTCTAAGATTATCCAGCTGAAGTCCAAGATCAA